CCAATGCCTGACCAAAGGTCGACCCCCTGCCAAGTGCCTCTGAACGGCTTTGCTCAAGGGAACTGCGGCAAGTCACCCAGGCCGCGCCAGGTGATGGGCTTGGCTGCATACAGGCTGTTAGCCAACTGTGTGTTGCGGCTGTGTCCATCAGGTTCCAGGAGCACACGGCGGTGGAGCTCAAGTTGGGCAGAACATGGGGAAGTTGCCACGCTCATGTCCACTACACCTGGGCCTTCCCGGGGTTCCCCGACCCTCGAACGCGACCCAGATGTTGCATGGCAACAGGTGCATGAGCGGCTGGCGGCTTGCGGTTTGGTGAGCCTACAAGCCTACCCTATGCGGCGTCGGCTTCGGCAGGAGCCATGGGAAATGTTGGGGCCTGTCCCTATCTGGGGAAGGATGCGGTCCGCTATCTTTGCAGGGCTTACAGGGCAACGCTATCCTAGCTCCTCAGCCAAAGGCCTCGACCACCTCCTGCCCCCTGGGCTGGGCAAGGAGGAGCATGTCGCACAAGCAAAGCGGCTACCATCATCACCGTTCCACCCTGCAGATTGGCCCGAACCTGATGTGTCTTTTGTGGTCCAGGCACTGGGTGTCTGGCAGCAATTTCTCCCTGCTTACAGCCAAAGGCTGCGACATACCTTGAAGGCAGTTGAAAAAGCTGCGCAGACGCTGCGCCCGTTTCTCGAGTCGGTGAGGTGTGTCAGTGCCAACAAAGTAGCGCAATCTAAGAGGCCTGCTTTTGTTGCTACCATGGCCTGCCTCCTCCGCTGGCCGGATCGTGAAATGGCCCGCCAACTAGTCCGAGGGTTTGCCATTGTGGGGTCCCTACCACCATCCGGGGTGTTTCGGGGTATTCAACAATCTGACAAACTGCCTTTACCTGAGATTGCCATCAAAGTCAGAGACCTTGAATAAGCCGGCCCAGGACCACGCGTACGCAAGAGTCCTCAAGGAGAAGTAGTATTCGACCACGACCACTCGATGATCATCGGCCGCAAACTCCAATTGCACGCCCCCACCCAGGGGGACAGATTCCTGATGCTTAGGCGCCGACTGGTGTAAGATGGATCGCACTTTGGCCACACTGATCACAGTCATAGTCCGCTTGCGAAACTCTCTGTAAACCCGGGAGCGGAGTGCATCGGATGGTTCCAAGAACGCGTCCAACACAACTCCATACTTAGCTGCAAAATCCTTATGGAGTAGACTCAGGGAGGATCTCATCAGGGGCCTCAGGTTGCTTGGCCTCAGCAGCAGCCGTACGAATAGCTTCCAACCCGGCCGCATGTGCAGCCTTGAGACGTGCTCGAAGGAGGCGATTCTCACGCATCTTGGTAGGATGAAGGACCTGGTCCAGGGATGTCTCCATAGAGTCTATGCCATAGAGGCTTCATTGAAGTAGTACACAAAGTCCTCAAAAGTCTCCCATTTATGAATGGTAACCAGCTCACTCACCCCCTGGTGGAAACGGTTCAAAGGAGGTCCCTGGTCAGAGACCCTGGAGACCTGCTAGGTTCCGACCGAACGGGGGCAACTTGGCGGTTGATGGAAAACATGTACTAACCATTACAGGCATGCGAAGCGGGCGACGTCCGAGCGGACGGGACATCCACCGATCCGGGTCGAGAACGATCGAAAAACCCCGCCCCTCCCTGCGATCTCAGCCTCTAGCCCCGCAGCTTTTGTACACTCAGCGCAGCCATCCGCACTGGTCCGCCAGGGAGGCATCCTCCTGACATACGAGCCAGACATCGCTGGCAAAACTGGCTCCTGGCCACCAACCCGAAAACCGAAGCCTTCGCCCTGGCTTTTGGGGTCTGGCGGTTCTCCAGAACCCCACTGACGTGTGGACCCTGCTGCTCAAATCGCTGCCCACAGCCGAGCAATCCGATGGCGAGGAGGTGGTAGAAGACGAAATGGAAAGCGCCTCACTGTCGCCACCTTGGGCGGGCGGTGTACTGTTGTCCACCTCTTCATCCTTGACTTCCTCCGACAGGACCGCCGGTGCGCCGAGGGCTGTACCGGACTTGCAGCCTCAATCAAAGCCGCCTCCAACAGCCCGAAGCTCTCATTCATCTGGGCCACTTCTGGCCATGTCCAGGCATCCCGGGCCACGAGACCTTGGGCATTAAGTGCCAATTCTGGCAACTTGCGGCAGAGCAAATGCAGGAAGCGCTGAATCAAAGCTCGCTTAACTGCCGCTGAGTGGAGAACTCGTTGGCCGGCGTAGTGCACCCCCATCAACCATGTAGCCTTGCTCTTCCGGACCCGGTCAGGGCCTCCGGCTCCGAGTATTTCCTGCCAGTTGCTGGTTGGATGGCTGCAAGCCACACACCAGCCCCATGGTGGGGAGGAACCGGCGAAGCCGGTTGTACCCGCCCCCCAGGCTTGATCATGGTCCACGCATGGAGAGGAGCGTACCACGGAGCAACTCAAGGAATCGTCCGCGTGACATCTTCCGATTCACGAGCCATGCTGTGCCCTCCGTGACCTCCCAGACATCTTCTGAACTCAAATGGAGCGCAGGCCATAGAAAGTTCAGATTGGGGTACGTCGCCCACGAGTATGGAGCTCGAGCGCCACGCCGTCGGGCCTTGCCTTGAGAGCATTCGAAAATAAGGCATTGTGGGTGGCTTTCCATGTAGCGGGACCTCTGAAAATGTTCGAAGCGCACACAGGAGATGGCAGCCCACACAAAAAAAATGTCAAAATCAACAAGTGGGTGCCTGACGGCTTCTTCATCATCAACAAAAGATTCACGAGCTCCCAAACGTTGCAACTCCGTCCTCTGTTGTACTCGATGGTCCGGTGGGAGCAGTCGAAAGGGTTGGGTGAGCCAGTGATCCACAGTGAAGGGGAGGCCAAACGTCACCCGGAACCACTTCAACGCTTGAAACATCGAAGATGCAGCAGTCGGACCCCTGGGCCACCATGCGCAAAAATTCGCTCACTGGGTAGGGCTGCAAGAAGGGCCCCAATCCTGGCCTCAGTAAGGCGCCCCGTGGCCTGCGTGACCTGATCTTTGCTGGAGCCGCACCGGGTCTCCGAGCTCCTCCCAGGTCACGCCAAGGTCCTCAAGATTCAGGAACTCGCTCAACAAAATGTCGACGAGGGCCTGGGTCTTGGTGGCCTTCTTGGCGGCTTCTCTAGTGTGAGGGTCCGCCGTGGCCGCTGCTTGCAGCATGGGCCTGTCGGTGGTGTGGTGACCACTGACATAGTTTCCACCACGGAGCCGGGTGACCCTACGATGATGCTCATGAGCGCGCCGAGCGGCCAGTGTCCACAGGGCACTGACCTGAAAAGCCTCCTCTGAATCCAAGGGGCGTTGGTGTTGCTCCAATTCTGCAACCAGCTCTCCCCCATGGGCCCAAATACCAACAACATCTTGGCACGTCTGATCTGTCCGCCACCAACTCCAGTAGCTCAGCCTCCATCGCCTGGTCTGGCTGCCTCACCGTCAGCACTCGTTGGCGGGCCTCCCACGGAGCCGGAGATGCGGGGGCTCAGGCGGGGGAATGGGGCCCTTAGCACGCCTAGGGCTGGGTCCTCTCGGAGGAGCCACTCAATGATGAGCTCTCGGGTCTGCTCAACGGTGAGCCCGAGGATCGCCGCGACCTCGGCAACGAAGACCTGGCCGGAGGTAGTTTCGAAATGGGGTGAAGCGCCCCCTTGGCCCCAGCCGGTGATCTGCATGTCCCTCAGCCCAGGAAATGTTCCGATGGCGACACTGGTCACAGACCAGTTGGAGTTGGTCGCACTCGTAGCAGAGGGCATCAAAGCGGTCGAGGCCCCGCACCGCTGGGAATGGTCAGCTTCAATATCGGGCCGCCGCTCAATACTGTCCCAAATAGCGACACACGGGCCCCCAAATCAGCTCGCCTGTCAGCCGCGGATAGGCCGGAAGGATCTTCGCCCCGGTGCCCCGTCGCCACCGTCGACCCCGGCTGCCACGCCGAGAGGGCCGTCCGACGGATCAGGGGCATGGCACGGAGGCAGAAAGGAAAAATCCCTCCCGATCTTGAGCCAAAATGGCATCAAGATCAGGAGTAACCCCTACATGTTTCAAATCCCAAAATGTCCCTACCCAACCAACCATTCATTTTGGGTAGATAAGTCCGCCTGCACCGAAGGTGCTGAGGCGTTTTATAGGGCACGCGTTAACCGCAAGTACCGCAAGTAGTACTGATAGCTTTAGCTAGGGGGGGGCATTTTCGCTCTAGAATCCTGTGTTTTTCACGTGTTTGGAACCGGCTTAAAGTGCTTTCGTGCTAATGTTTGCTATCCTGAAGCCTTTAGGGATGCAAGAAATGCAATTTTCTGCTTTGCATCATCTGCATCATCTGAATCATCTGAGCGGTACGTAACATAGCCCTAGAAGTCACTATCTAACGGACGTGTCTGCGAGATAGGGACTTGA